GCCTCACAAATGACGTCGAGATTTCTGGTGCGGACGAGCACCGCTCTTCAATTCTGTATTCACGCCGCCTCTCACGCGGACAACAGAAGCCGTGATGCCGACCAGATTCGCACATCGGCGAGTCCCGTTAACCGAAAACACCTAACGAATTCCTTAGCTTATTACTTTGCTCAGATCATTCCAAACGGGCAACCCAAGATGCTTACTGTAGGTACATTTCACGCCTGACACTGCTATCGATTAAGTAAACCAAATTCACATCAGATAGCCATTTTATGAAAACACTTTCACATCCCTTTCATTATATCAGTCTCATCCGTGAATCCCTATATCAATTGAAGTCATAGTTTCTGATAAATACACATATGTGCATGGTCAGTACACGCCTATATATACATTCATGGAAATGCACGCGCGTCTGCATGCGAAGGTATTATCTTGAAAGTAGATTCGACCAGTATATACATGACTCGTAACTATATATGTACACGTGATAAGAGGTACACACATGACTAAACAAATACGTGTGTGTGTGTGTGTGTGTGTGTGTGTGTGTGTGTGTGTGTGTGTGTGTGTGTGTGTGTGTGTGTGTGTGTGTGTGTGTGTGTGTGTGTGTGTGGGCAATAATCGACCGCAAGCTTACTTAATCAACAAGCATACTTAATAAACTAAATGCATGACTAATGAAATTATCAATGAATTTCTATTTTGGCAAATATATGATCCAACGAATCAGTATCGCTCAGAAAGATAGAAACCTCCAAGTGTGATTCTCTGTTTACATCGCCACCTCGGTATCAACTTACCTTCCACCATTGACTTCTATAGCACCACTGAGTGTAGTTGTTGTTGGAGAGATGGATCCACAGCAACATGCGCTTAGTCTTCTCCACTTCCCATCTCTCCCTGTCTTCAGGTACCTTACTGCGTCTCATCTTTGCAAGTTGTTCCCAGAGCAGCCAGTCGTCTTTATAGGATTCCATACGGGATAACGGCAGCTTTCCTGCAGACAAAAGACTAGCATTCTCTTGCTTCCCATTCTCGGTGGTCTCCATCAGGGCACTATTTTCGTCGGCGAATATGACACTCTCGAGATCGGACCATGTAGCTGTTAGATCAGCCAAGTTCTTACTCATGTCGAAGCGCACAGACCGTTTCGGAGAGCCGCTGCCGCCCTCCTCGTCGACAGCCGCCGTGTCTTCTATGCGGGAACCATCAGGGAGGTCATTACCGGGATCGCTGTACAGAGTTTTATTCTTGGTAATATGTTCATGGACGAACTTAGCAAGGTCAGCTAGGTCAAAACTGAAATCTTCTTCATCTGTGAATCCCGACAAGTAGTTGTCTTCATGGTGATCACGCGGCAAAGTAGACGCCGGTGTATAATCTGGTGTTGGTACAAACACCTGTTCTATTACCCCATCATTCCCTCCCACCCGTATTACTTCCCTTTCCTTACATTTTTCCTTTTCATTCTTTTCCTGTTTTTCTTCTTTGCTCTCGTTTCTACTCTCTGGGGGTTCAGCAATTATCTTGCAGGTTTCTCTTTGAATTACATCATTTCTACTATCCCCATTTTCCATAGTCTGACGCCGTTTTTCGTGTAACGACCCAAAGATTTTATTCATATGTGGCGCTAATTGTTCCCGCTTGAAGGCAACGGAACTAGTAGTGTCAACAGAAACAGTAGCCTTCAGTGGGCTCTTCATGAGGGTGGGAGACTTTCCATCAACTTCCTCTTCATCATCATCTCCAGTATTAAATCTGCGTCTTAATTTTAGTTTCAGTTCACGAATCATAAGGTCATTGTTATTCCCTAGGATGGAGACTCCTAATTTCTGAACCTTCTTAATCTTTTCAGTTGACTCATATGTAATACCTCCCGCAGCTTCCTGACCTTCCTTATTTTCTAGCTGCATCACAGCATCGTGTGGAGGCACTAATTCATTTTTTACATCCCCAACTGCTTCCTTGGATACCTGAAGGAGCTCCTCTCGTATCTCCTTACGAGTGCCATAGATTTCACTGTCGTTCTCGTAAGTGTGTACTTCCCGAGACTCTGTAGATGATACTGTATTTTGAAAGTACAGGCAATCATCTCCCTGTAAAGCTGATGGAACTAATGTGGAGTGAAATGATATATCAGCTTCTGTTTTTTCATTTAATGGTGAATGAGGCATTTTCTCTAATGTTCCTTTGAACATCTCCTCTGTCAGTTCCACAACCTTACCCTTCCTTATCACAACAGGTGGATCCCGCGAACCATCTGTGTTATCCCTGGCTACAAATGCACCATTCATGGAATGAAAGAGGCGTGAATTTCTGGCGCCATATATAGGCTCTCCATGTCGAGAGCCATAGAACTGAAGTTCTTCTAGTGCATCATCTGTGGGAGGTGTCTTGATAGAGGTAGCAGTGGAGAGACCAGACCTGGACGCCAGGGATTCAATACTCTGATACACATGGTGTTTGAGAAGAACAACTGGCGGAGTTCCATGGCCCTGTGATGAGCCACTAATGCTACCTCCACAAATTTGGTACACCGCTTCACCTGTTTCTTCATATTCATGGGAAGCTGTGCTGGTGCTACCACCGGCATCCCGCCTTGATGGGTCACTTGGTGTTCGAAACTGACGACGCTGGTAGGCACGAAAAAGCCGTCGGCCATCACTCTCCTCATCAGTCGAGGGCGATGAATCTAACTGAGAAAGGTTCAGCCCTTGACAAACTGCTGCTGATGAGGGAGAGGGAGAACAGTCACCTATGCCTTCAATTGTTGGAACACACTCACTGTCGAGGGACTGAAGTTTAGAATTTTCCCCTTCTGGCGACTGTGATGGAACTGATCTCTCAATATTCTCCACACTCTGGTATACATGTTTGCGGCGTAGGTTACCAAACACACGAGGCCCAGGAGCAATAGAATTTCTCTCACACTTCCCCTCAGCTGAGTATTGTTGCATGGCCAGCTTTTCTTCATCCATCGCTTCCATGTAGTCCCAGGACGTATCAGAATCCAGATATGGTTGTGTACTAAAGCTTAGGGACTTGCTTTCAATAAGTTCACTTGTATCAGATTCATTGCCATGATTAACAACAAACTTGTGTTTGAATGGGTTTCGCTTCCTCTTTTTTTCTTCCATATCTGCATCTGTCTCCTCAACAATGTTGCCCTTGAAAATAACACTCTCAAGACTAGTTATGCTCTCAGTCTCAGAATCAGCTGTATCATGGCTTGTGGTAGTGGTCCCATCTCCGTGATATAGATGCTCATTGTGGTCTGGATGGTAGTCATACGTCGATTCCTCTTCACTTGGGAGTCTCTTGCCTGAAAGTCGTTGGAAATTTACTTTGAAAGATTCATATCCACTCATATCCTTCTGTTGTTTTGATTCCAATTCACTCTGAAGCTTTGACATCCGTGCAATTTGGAGAGAGCTGCTGGTGGCTGTAATACCATCATCAATTTTTTGTTCTTTTCCTACATCAGTATTATCATAAACTGTTGAGGACTTTAGACTTTCTTTTGATGTGGCTTTTATAAACCCCAACTCTTTAAGGCCTTTGAAGAATTTTTGTTTAAAAGGAAGTTTTTGGTTCTCTTCTTTAGAGTGAGGCTTTCCTTGCGTGTGTTGTCTTGTATTTTGCCCTGCTGCAACCCACGGCCATGGGTGTTGGGCTAAACCAGAAGTCTCAGCTTTGCACAGTTGCTGAATTTCATTGATCTCTGTCTGCACATTGTGGTGTTCATCCTCTGTATCATAGACTGGTAGATCTTGTTCACTTTCAGCTCTTGGAGTAGATGGTGTAGGGGTTGGTAATGGGGTTTCCTCTTCGGACTCTTCATAGGTCCGCTCAGATTCTTGATTATTTTCCTTCTTATCCCTCATATCATAGTTTAAGAGGTTCAGGGCACTCATAACAGGGTCACTCCCACTGCTGGCCTCCCCTAAAGCATTATCCAAGAGACAGTCAGTGCTTGCTGATATAGTTATTTCGCTTGTTAATACACAATCACTGGGTGCATCTACTGCAACAGGTATCTTCGGCTCAAAAATTAAAGAATCAATGCTACCGAAAGTATCATAATCTGCATTCTCTTTACTTGACAATTTGGAGTTTTTGGAGTTGTCTTCCATAGGTACATATATATGGCCAAGATTGATATTACTTAGAGTCTCCCAGTCCTGAGCAAGAGCTTCCTTCAAGCGTTCTCGTATCTCTTGATTCCTCTCTTCTTCATCCTCAAAATTGTCAAGATCAAGATGGTGCTCAATGTGATCTGTAATCACCTTCACTACCTTATTCCTTGTTGTGGTGTTGATATCCTTTTGTCCATTAAGAAGTTCTCTTACACGTTGCTGTAAATCCACTTCTCCTTGACGTTTCCTTGACTTCTTGTTGCTAAAGGTGTTGCTTCGCCTTATGGAAGCTCTTGCCACCCGAGCCAGAGACTCATACACATCCTCACTTTCACTCAAACTCCACTGGTCCACTGGTAGATAGCGGCCACCAGTAGTACAATTTTCATCAACAAATTTCAATTTCCTTAGTCGCTTTTCTTGTTCTTCTAGAGTACGATTAACTAAGAAATCACGATGATGCATTACAGACTTTGGCCCACTAATGGGTTCATATATTTTCTCAAACTCTCCATTTGACCAAGAGTCATGGGAGAGAAGAGAGCAATCACCTGGAGAAGGCAGTCTATGGGATACATCTTGTTCTTCAAGTTTCTTGCCTGTAGCTTGCTTGGAGTGGCACTGACATTCACCCTCAGAGGCTGAGACATTGCCTGCACCACACTGCTCACAAGAAACACAAGAACACAGATCCCAGCTGGAGTCTACTGTGTTCGCGGGAGACAGACCACGTTCATCCTCGCTCTCGTGTATCTCCTTGAGGCGTGACAGTATTTCAGACCTTGACACATAAATACTGTCCTTTGCCTTAGTATGTGTATCTATTTCTCTGGGTTTATGTAATTCCATGTGTGAACT